CTCTCTCTCTCTCTCTCTCTCTCTCTCTCTCTCTCTCTCTCTCTTATAATTTCAATTTATGCATCTAAGCATTTAAAAATGAAAAAGTGTATATTAATTTAGTTCGCCATCTTGTACTATTGTAAATACATGCTTGTAATTTGCTGGAAAGGGCTTAATAGAAGTTTATTAACTTGTACCCAATCCATTTGCTCGGCAATAAAATATGTTTAAACTAAACACACACATTAGCGTTTATGGAAAACAAGTTGTATGCATCTCATAGCTGGTTACGCTGAAAACGGTGGACATATTACACCTCTAATCCAACTAGCAGACGGACTTGTTTATAAGTTTATGCATGGCTTATAAATTGCCTTAAGCTGAAGCTTCGTTTACGGGGATTTTTGATTTTGTAAAGTTTTAGAATATTAATTAGTAAACATTTTGCATTTAACAGATGTGGTTCCAGAGGTAAAGCACTGTGTTAAAGGATAGTGTATTTAATGCATATTTAGTTCCTGGTTACATGTCTACATTTGATAAGCTTATGACCAAACGTGTAAATAGTCAACTCTTGTTTTGGTTTTTACACACTTAAGGTAGGGGGTAATCCTTTTTCTCCATCAAAACAATACTTCAATATAATACAACAGTTTTCAGCACTTTTAATGTATTTTTATCCGGATTTGCGCGTGACTAATTTGACGTCGTACCTGGTTTCTTTTTTGCATGCTGTCTGTCAAGCCTGTCAAGGTACCGGAGCATTCATTACATGTGGGACTTATCAGGAATGGTTGAAAAAAATGGATGGATGGTGGGAGAAAGAGGAATTTTAGACCTAAGGATCATATGTTTGAGGTTCAACCCTTGGTTAAATCTCATACTGAACCTCAACAATATATCCTTATGCTGATATTTTTGTCTGTCATTATCTATCCAGAGTGTTACGTACGTCACACTCACTATACACCACAACCCGGACCTGTTTCTATGTATAGCGTACCCACAAACCGATCAGTGTAAACGATCAACTGGGGAATACACTTCCATCATTTTTGCTCGAGTGGTGAACTAAATATTGTCATTCAGAACACATCCTATGCACGGGTTAAGTTTACCAGTGGCTAGTATTGGGACCTACCTTATGACCCGATCTTCTTAGTCTTGTCGTTATAACCAGACATCATGTGTCTGCTATTCCCTTCCAAAATGTCCTTCATCCAGAAAGAAATCGTGTGTGTCCTGTTCTAGGCATGCGTGGAGCAATAAAAAATATTCATTATAAATGTGATATGGATCATAAACTTTAATGCATCGCTGACGTTGAATGTAGAAACGTGGTCAACTACACATATATACCACTGTAGTGTGTATGAGAAATATATAATAACTGTATATACCTTTGTAATAATGCATAAAAAGCTTATATATGGCATCTTAATTTCATGCGTATTGCCCATGGGGTATATCTTAAAATGAATTACAGTGAAAATGCCCAATGTGGGCAACGTAACGAACTGCTGTTCCAAAAACAGAAAACAGTGCGGGCTATGTGACTATAAAAGAAACAACTCGAAAACTTAGATTACTAACATTGATACATAGCTAGGTAAGTACAGTTGAGAGCTTCATGTACATGACGTTGTACACATGAGTGAACCTGGTATTCAACACGAAGATACAAGGGAATTAGGCAACAGGCAAAGCATATGAGCGCCCTCTCTTTACAGAAGTAACCAGTTTACACACATCGTATTACATATATATATATTGATATTTGCATGTCATTATTAGTTTTTGAAAATTGTTGTTACAGAAACTAGATTAAACAAACAATAAGCAAATAATGCTTGTGGACAGCACATAGGACAATTATGTGAGTAGATGTAAAATGGAGGTCTTGAAAGCCCATACCGACCCATCCCGGGACCCATCCTCCCATCGCAGGGAGACGAAGGCGCCAAAAAACAGCTGACAGAGTTAAAACGAAAACTGGACAGTCTAGACACATCACCAAACAAGAAACAAAGGAAAGATGAATCGTTAAAACAAACAACGGATGAAACTGTACATCAATGTAGTGAATTTGGGCGTCATTTTTCTAACAGAGGTACATACATGAAACATTTGAAGGAACATTTCGTTCAACTGCCGTGTGACGTGTGTGGAAAAATACTTAAAAGACACAAAAATCATCTCCACGGTACTAAAGACAGATTACCTTGCGATTGCAGGTCCGTCTCCAGAACCGCCGGAAATTCCAACAAATTACCAGAAAGGTAGTGGTCCTCAGTCGACACCGGATGTAGAGTCCCGCCGGAACCGGATGTAGAGCCACCGCCGGATGTAGAGTCGCCACTGGATGTAGAGTTCCCACCGGAACCGGATGTAGAGCCGTCGCCGGATGTGGAGACCCCTCCGGATGTAGAACCGCCGCAGCTCCCACCACCTGTAAGAAATGACACGCATCAGTTTTAATGGATAGGCAAACGTGAGAAGTATTTATCCTAACGACAACGATCGTATGGATTTGTTGACATTTTTTTCCAATACTCGAGAAAAAATAAGGGACCATTTTAAACGATCGTGTCAGAATTTGAACGGAATCAAGTGGTATTTGTGTATTCAAGTGGAATTCGAAAAGACAGACAAGGACGGTAACGTTCAAAAATCCTTTCCTCATTTTAGAAGTAACAATTACATTTACATGCCAAATGACAGTTTTCTGATAGTGAATTGAACGCTTCGTTTCAGAAAATGTTTGCCTCATTCGAGGAATACATTCACAAGGGATCTAGTTGGATTTTAAAAACAATACTGAAATTGAATGTAAGTATAGTCAATTACTCACCTCTGCCAGGTTCCTCGTACATACCTACCCCATCCACTTTCAGACAGCAAAGAATTGTCAACGTCGTCAACAACGATCAGAAATGTCTTTTGTGGTCTGTTTTGGCTTCGCTTCATCCTATTCGCGATTTTCCCGAGCACGTGTTCCTTACGAAACGTTACAAAATGACCTTGACATGACTGGCATTACCTATCCCGTCTCCATATCTGAAATAAGTTAGTTTGAAAAACAAAACGACATTTCGGTGAACGTGTTTGGATGTGAGAGTAAAGAGACCTGTCCCTTATACGTCATAAAAACAGGCAAGTCATACGGTCAATTTACTTTATCTTCAGAAAGACGAAAACACCCATTATTGTCTCATTCCCAACATAGACTCTTTTCTGTCGAGAACCAAAAAACATAGAACTAAATCCTACTTTTGCCATTACTGCCTTCAGGGTTTTGTTAGAGAAGATCTGTTACAGAGCCATATCGAACACTGCTCCAAACACGACCCCCAACATGTGCAATTACCCGACGAAAAACACAATGAGCTAGAGTTCATTTTGCGAAACAACTTCAAGTTCCCTTTGTCATATATGCAGATGTCGAGGCCTTTACACAAGTCCTCCAGTACCACGAAACAAACCAAATTCGAGCCTTGCGGGTTTGGATATCAAGTCGTTTGTTTTAACGATACCTATACCACATCTCCCGTCATTTATATATTTATATATAAAATTTAAGTCAATACCACGATCTTTATCTCAAAACGGACGTATTGCTATTAGCTGACGTGTTTGAAAATTTCCAAACCATGTGTCTCAATTACTACGGACTAGACGCCGCCCACTTTTACACCGCTCCCGGTCTGACATGGCAAGCAGCATTGAAAATGACGGGCGTTCGTTTGGAATTACTCACAGACCCAGACATGTACCTGTTCTTCGAGAGCGGAGTCAGGGGAGGTGTTTCTATGGTGTCTAATAAGTATGCAAAAGACAACAATCCTTACATTCCCGAGTCTACCGATCCCTCCCGTCCCGACTCGTAAATCATGTACACAGATTGCAACAATTTGTACGGCAAAGCCATGTCGGAACCACTCCCCGTGGGCGATTTTCGTTGGGTCGAAGAAGAGTTTGACGTTATGTCCATAACTAAAGAGGGTGACTTGGGGTACATCCTAGAGGTCGATTTAGAGGTAAGCAAAAGCGATCACGACCTAATGAGCGATTACCCTTTGGCTCCCGAACGTAAAACCGTCTCAGACGAGGAGTTATCTCCCACAAGCAAAGCACTGTGGAGAGAGCTAAATCCTAGCGATAAACACACAGAGTTTAGCTTACACGGTCGCATTGCCACTCCTAAACTGGAACGCAATTTAGATAACAAAACGAAATACATCTGCCACTATAGGAACTTAGAGCTAGGAATGAACGTCACAAAAGTTCACAGAGTGTTAGAATGTAGGCAAGTTCCTTGGCTTAAAAAATACATCGATTTCAATACTACAAAAAGAACGGTCTCCAAGAACGATTTCGAAAAAGACTTTTTTGAATTGATGAACAATGCCGTCTTTGATAAGACCATGGAAAACGTTCGCAACAGAGTCGACATCAAGCTGGCTCACACGGCCAAAAAAAAAAAGTACTGCGCAAAACCCTCTTTTCAAAGATTTACCATTTTTAACGAGGACTTGACGGGTGTAGAAAAACGCCAAAATAAAATTAGTGTTAAACAAACCCGTTTACCTAGGTCAAACCATCTTAGATTTATCAAAATGTATCATGTCGTTCTACTATAAATATCTGAAACCGAAATATGGAGACGGGATAAAGTTATTATTTACTGACAACGACAGTTTGTGTTATCACGTGCAATGCAGCGACATCTATGTCGACATATTAGAAGACAGACACTTGTTTGATTTGTCAAATTATCCCAATGAGCACTTCTGTTACGATTCGGTCAACAAAAAGATACCCGGTTATTTTAAAGACGAAACCGGAAGCAAGCCTATCATAGAGTTTGTAGGACTTCGCGCTAAAATGTATAGCTTTCGATATGCCGACCCAGAAAGTTTTACGTATCAAAACATGAGAATCACTACCAATTCTTTCAAAGGGAATCAGGTAGCCAAAGGCATTGCCAAAGCTACTATAAAGCGCGACTTACGTCACGAGATGTACAAAGAATGTCTCTTTAGCAAACAAAACAAAATGTGTGAAATGCTCTCCATTAGGAGCGATAGACATCCGTTATATGTGTATAACATTAACAAATCCGGGTTATGTGCTTTTGACGACAAGCGGTGGATCCTATCAAATCTCTGCGATAGCTATGCCTTCGGTCATTACAAGACAAAAACGGTATTGTAAAATTCGCACCTGTTTACTTGTATATCAAATGTATATATGTTATAATAAAATAACTCTATAGAAGATGTAAACTTACTTTTAAGACTTGATTACGTATTTGCAGAGATTGATACATACAGCCTATTTTGAAATATTAGACTTTACATTGTAAAGATTTAACTGTATTTAGTTTGAAAAAATATATCTTTGATTATATTGTAAAATAATAAATATGATGCAAACTTATTGATAAAGTCTGATTATGCATTTACAGAAACATGTACAAAAACATTCATTGTCAACCAGTTTTGAAATATTACACATTTATTTTGTATAGCTTACATCAGTTAAATTGTATATCAAATGTATATATATTAATAAAATTGCAATCTTATTGACAAGATTTGATTATTTGTAGAGATTGCTACATTCAACCTTTTTTTGAAATATTACACATTACATTGTAAAGATTTAACTTTATTTAGTTTGAAACAATGGATCCTTGATTATATATAAATAAAAGAGTATGCATTTATACAATAAAAGAATATAACTTCATATTTGCGTTAGTATTTTTGAAATTAATCTTTTTGGAAACATTGTGTCATATCAAACCTATTCAAACATTTATTTTCTAATTCTACTCATCATTTTATCAATCGATTTTTTTCTAATAATGTTAATTATAGTTTTTTTGTTTTTTTTTTACTTTCAGTTGACACAATGTTTCTAAAAAGATTTAGTAAAAAAACTAAATCTTCCAGCTGTTGGTGTTGTTGTTGTTGTTGTAGTGATAAAGTTACTTAACACTTTTGTGTATGCATTTTATTAAAAATCTAATGCTAAAATATCAGAAATTACATTTAAATTGTGAATGTATTAATTAGAAAATATAGGAATAAAAGAAATTTTACACATTTTGTTTTGGTTTTGTTACACTTCTGTAGAGAAACTGGTTTCTGCTGTGTTTTCCATTTGAAACCAAAACCAAATGAAATGTGGGAACCTTACACATCATATTAATGTGTCCGTTGACGGGTTTGATGACACAAATCCTATCGAGACACGGCTAAACAGTCTACTGATAACTATCTACATCACTTAATCTTTGCTCTATTCATATAAAAATTCTATAAACTGCGGGGGTCATATACGCGGTGGGAAAAATAGCCCTCGTTACTGTCGAAAACACTATACATATGTAACGCATGGCTTACACAATTAATAAGTCTCAATCTGTTGCCTTGGGGAGGACTAATTGTAACAATAGATCAGCGTAAAACTGAAAACTGTAAGTCTCTATAGGTATTGCCGGATTAACCACAATCACGTCTAATTTATGTTCGGGTTGCTTTAAGGGGAAGTTTTAAAGTAAAGTGATTTTCAAATAAAGAACTTACATGTTAAATCGAAATTATCTGGAACTCTCAAGTTCATGAAACAGTCCTGACAAAGGTCGTTTTTACAGACTGAACAAATAACAAATTTAGTGTCAATCTTCAGATATTCCTCTACCCAGTAAAACTTTCTAGTCGTCATCTTAAACGAATTAATTTTAGAAATGGTTATTTTACAAAGTTGAACTTCCAATCAGGTCAGTGAAGTAAAACCAGACAGACATACAATAATAAGGATATATTTGAACATTCTAATTCACTAACGATTCGGATTAAATACTAGTTTGTAAATGAGATGCCCTACTTTAACTCCTATATGAAACATGTAAACTGTTGCCTTGGACCAAAAAACAAATATCAAACTGTGCTATTATGAATACAGAACTGGAAACTTACTGTTTCTATTGTTACAAATAAGTAATCCCTAAGGCAACAGTTTGTGATATTTAATCCTATACGATAGGTAATACTGCTAGCAGAGACTTCACAGACGTCGATGTTTCTAGCATTGACGAGGTCGATCCGTTTCTTTGCAATGGAATACAACTGAAACCTCAGGTAAACCAGCACTTTTTATAGAACATGTACTGTGACCTCAGTAATACTGCTAGCAGAGACTTCATAGACGGCGATGTTTCTAGCATTGACGAGGTCGATCTGTTTCTGTGCCATGGAATACAACTGAAACCTCTGGTAAACCAGCACTTTTTATAGAACCTGCCATGTGACCTTGAGATGGAGCCCTGGAATGGATGGGGTCCAGCGACTTCCATTATATATATAGGATGGGGTCTTGGGATGGGTCGGGGTGGACTTTTATACCCTCTGTGATGGATCGAGATGGGGCTCAAGATTTCCATTATTATATATAGGATGGGTCCCCGGATGGGTCTCTGGGATGGGTCCCGGGATGGGTCGGGATGGGCTTTTATATCCTCTGTGATGGGTCGAGATGGGGCTCAAGATTTCTATTATTATATATAGGATGGGTCCCGGGATGGGTCTCTGGGATGGGTCCCGGGATGGGTCGGGATGGGCTTTCAAGACCCCCATTTTACATCTACTTATCTGCTGGTATCATTTGATCAAGAAATATCGATAATCAAGGTGTAACTAAAGTGTATGTGGTTCAAAAGGTGTATAGGTAATATCTTATTATCTTGTTTGATGTTGTGACAGACACGTTGTAGTGTGACTTCAACCCTGCTCGTGTTCGATAGAGCTTGATTCGAAATAGTACTATAGTATATATTTTACTAGAGGAAAACAATAATGACAGGTATGGAAGTTCCGATTTTGCACAATTAGATATCTTGAAACAATAATTCATAAAAACAAATGAATTTCCCAAACTTATTAGATTGATGTACAACATAAACATTCGCATGAAAAAAAAATACAAAAAGAAAATTGAAATTTTCCATAAAATGTTATTATATTTAATGCTGCTATATTTGTTATTTGACAAGAAAAAGTTCGATTGAATAATGTTCATTTACCTTGTAGCTGGTAGACTATCAGTCAGTGAGGTTAGCCGTAACCTTGTAGCCGGTAGACTATCAGTCCCCGAGGGTAGCCGTCACCTTGTAGCTGGTAGACTATCAGTCAGTGAGGTTAGCCGAAACCTTGTATCTACTGGTAGACTATCAGTCCCCGAGGTTAGCCGTCACCTTGTAGCTGGTAGACTATCAGTCAGTGAGGTTAGCCAAAACCTTGTATCTACTGGTAGACTATCGGTCCCTGAGGTTGGCCGTAACCTTGTAGCTAGTAGACTATCAGTCCCCGAGGTTAGCCGTAACCTTGTAACTGGTAGACTATCAGTCAGTGAGGTTAGCCGAAACCTTGTATCTACTGGTAGACTATCG